AGCACCTAAAAGAGTTGTCCACAGATGAGGCTCCAGGTGAACTTCCAGAGCACGTGATGCCCACCTACTGTGTTAAGATTTTAAATTTTAGCTAAGAGAGATATAAAACATTCTCAACATACAAGAGAAGTTGGATTCTTATTTAAAGACTTACTTTTTTCACAAACTGGTTTTGAAGACCAGGTGTTATCTTCTCCACAGGTAATTGTCTCCGATCCGGTCATGAAATAGCCTGGATCACACTCAAACGTGACTGAGTCCCCATATCTATAGGAAAATCCAGATCCAAATATTTTTTTTGCATTTTCAACTCTCGGGTTATCGCACTTGACCACTGAAATAGGTAAAAGAAAAAACAGCTAAGAAATATTTGTTAACAGTATCTGTGCAACAGAGCCAGCATCCTCTTACTGCTTGTACATTTCCTTCTTCTAATTCCTCAAACTGTTTTGGAGGGGCTTTGTAAAGAGGTGATTCTCTTGAAGGTGGAGAAGGTCCTTGCCTTAAGCTATTGAGATGTAACGGTACACGGTCAAATAAGAAATGGTAGTAATTGATATAATCACATTGCACTTCCAGAAGCCATACTCCTGTACGGCGGCAGAACTTTTGAAAACAAAGTGCTATTGAGTAGGGTTCAAATAACAACACGAGTATCTGGTCCTTCTCCCTACGTCTGCAAAGCAAGACTTTGTGCTTGCTGGGCTTTGCATTTATTTCTGCATTTGCATAGTGGCTGTGTTTAGAAAAAGAGTTCTTCCTTACCTTTTCACTATTCTTAATCTAGCTTCCAAATTCTTGTTCTTTACCAAATTTTTCTTCAGCTACCCAAGCTTTGTGGTCTCTCAGTTCCTTCACTTTGTCCTTGTCACTTCTACCAACAGCATGCTCATACATATAAAGTTTTAACTTAAATTTTAGACATATTCTGTGTCATAATCAATCAATACCCACAGTGCAGTTAGATCTGATCTCCACTGGAACTATATCAAATTTATTACCAGATGATTTCTTTGTTCTTTTCTATAGGGAAGTCTATACCGCCCCCCGCCCCCCTTCTAAAAAAAGGGACAGATACCAGATTTTTGGAGTCAGATGAGCTCTAACAAAGAAGCACATTAAAAGTCCTGATAACCTTTACACTGGGGAGGGGCTTCACTCCAAACTCCATTTAAGTGTTCATCAAAGGTGCAGAAAATACTAGGGGGTCCAATGAGTGAGAAGGGCTCGTCGCCCGCGGGGGGCCGGTCGCAGGTGTAGGTCACTGCCGTCTGATACACGTAGTTTTCAGCTTCCGTGTAGCTCCCGTGGGGGATGCTCGGAGGTGGTTTACAAGCAATTGCTAGAAATAAACCATACAAATTAAATCGACAGAATTTGACTCGTTCGCCTCAGAAAGAGCAAGCCTTGATTTTCAAGTTATTTCATTTCAATCCGACGTGGTTTAGTGATTTTTTATTTTTTTTTATCAGAGTTAGGTTGATGGTTGGACTAGATGATCTTAAAGGTTCCTTCCAACCCAGACAATTCTATGATTCTATGAAGCTATTTCTAAAACAAGCTACAGTTATAACTAACAGTTACCAATGGTCAACTGTTACAGCGAGTCTCAACCTCAAGAAGAGGTTGACTTTAACTAATATGAGCTTATTACCACAATAGCTGATACTTTCCTGTGATCACCCCACAGGCACATGCCAAATAGCTTCAAAAAATAAAAAAATTTAAAAAAATCCTATTTACCAGCATTTCTTGTACTGGAAAGTTTATGGCACAGCTGTTTTTAAATGAATTACCACTATCTGAGTATAAAGTTAAACATCGCAGTAATTTACTTACCTTCACAGACAGGAAGATCTCTACTCCAGCCAACACCATTACCCCGAATTTCACAGGAAATTCTATCAGGTCCAACTAATCTGTATCTAGACAGAGAAAAAATTTTTAGAGAGGTGAAACTTAAGGAATCTCCCATTTTTCCAACAAGAAGCTAGAAATCTGTTTATACAATTCTGTTTTGTGATTATGGGGCCATGACGCACCAAGCTTTTGTTGTAATAAGAATGGCATCTGAAATTTTATTTATTTATTTATTAACAGTCTCAATTTTGAAAACAAAAGAGAAGCAAATGAGATATCACTAAAGGAAGTTATGGAAGTCCTGTCATTTTAAGATTTGTACCCTTCTAATGCTAATGCTCAAAGTTACTAAGACTAAAACAATAAGCTGTTAAAAGGGAGAAAAAAACCTTGTAAGAGGCTAGAGCTTTTGACTTAATTGGCTATACACAGACAGATGGGCCATTATTCAACATAATAATGAAGGGTGAAGAATATATAGATCTATTCTCTCTGCCACAGGAGCATTAAAGAAGTCATTACAGGTAACACTCTAGTTTTCACTCTGCAGATTCTCACTACAGAGCTTAGGCCTTGGTTGATGCAAACAGCAAGTAAAACCAGGGAATCAAGTTTAACTGTAATTTCATTTGCTCCAGGTAGAACTCTGGAGACATTTCAAGTCAGAACTGGAATAGAACCTGCCTGAGAACATTTAGGTTTGTTTCAAATTTGATTTAAACAGAAAACATAAGAGGATTCATTCACCAAAATACTTACCCTTCTGCACAAGAAAAAGTAGCTTCTGAACCAAATTCAAGACTTGTCACATGAACAGAACCATGCAATAATTGTTCTGGATGGTTACACTTTTTCGCTAAAGGGAGGGGAAAAGAAAAGAAAAGAAAAGAAAAAAATCTACATCTTTGTAGTTATATACAAAGGCTAATTCTTTGGCATATACTTCTCTTACCATTATTAGCATTTTTCAAGCTTCATTTAAAATATTATAGAATACTAACGCTCACTTGGAAAACACCTAAAATGGTTAAATATCAAAGGGAAAAACCCAAAGAGCTCATACACACATTACCTGTGCAGAACTGCTCTTTGGGCACCCACTGTAAGTCTTCACTACATGTCCGAGATGATGATTTTCCCAAGATTTTCATATACCCCGGCCGGCAGACGTAGGACACCGTGGTTCCAATGGGAAAGCCCTCTGTTGTCCCTGAAACCTCTGGCTTCTCCAGCTCTGCATAGTCCAGCCTCTCCGGAGGCGGACACGTGCCTGTCAGAAGAAGGAAAAAACAATAGATAATCTCATCAACAAGAAGAGAGACCAGTCCAGGCACAATGGCACGGAAGCCACACTCACTCAAGAAGTTTTAAGGATCCACCGGTAAATCAAAGAGCTGATGTTCATAAGGGCCAGGGCTATTTGTGTATTTGAATAGGTTTGAATTTTTTAATTTGCATTTATTTGAATTTTGAATAGGTTTGAATTTTTTAATTTGCATTTTAACTGCACCCCATGTCCAACTCCACCCTACCACCAGTTACTCACTTTTTCTTTTTTCCCCAATTTCTTTGTTAGCTTTCTACCCAGAGAATTTCCTTCCAGTTTATATTTTTGGTCTGTTTGCCTTATTCTTAATTCTTATACTTAATTCACCGTACACCCACCCACGGTGAAACGCTGCAGGAACAAACCAACCGGCCACGCTTGGCCTGTTCCCTCCCCTTCCCCAGACAAAGGGCCAGGCAGAACCCAGAGGGGAGTTGAAAACACGATCCAAGGGGGACCTACAGAGCCAGGGAGGTTTTAAGGGGCAGTTAATGTAAATGTAACGTAAAATTCCTCCAGGCTGGAGGGCTGGGAACACATTCCAGACCTCTCGGCCCAGGCACAAGATCCACCCGGCCTCTGCAAGGCGTACCCACGGCAGAGGCCCCCACCTCTTTGGGGACTGATTGCCTTTCTTTTATACTATTCCTTCAAGATTTACCAAACCACGAAAGAAATGTTAAACCCCCAGCTCAGCCACCCATCAGCACCCAACGCCAGCACGCCCGTTTTTGCACCACCACCACCTTTCTCTCAGCTTTTCACACACACACACACACACACACACACACCCCCCGCAAACCCCACCGAAGCCGCTCGCAGACCTCACTGGTTCCACCACCGCCTAAAAACACTTCCTTCTCCCTCCCCACCGCCTCCCCGAGCGGCGGAGCTGCCTCCCCTCAGCTCCCGGGGAGGGAGGGCGAGCTCTCACCTCCCGGTTGCTGCTGGGGCCGGCAGGCCGCGGGGGCTCGGCGCGCCCCCCCAGCCCCTCAGCCCGCCCTCCCTCCCGCCGTGGCGGGCCGAGGAGGGGAACGGGCGCCCATTCCTCACCCTGAGCCCGCGCTGCGCCGAGCCACGACAGCGCCACCGTCGCCAGCAGGAGGCCCGGGCCGCGGATGGACGGTCCCATAGCAGCGGCGGCGGCGGCGACCCCCGGTAGAACCGGCCGCTCCGCGTCCCTCGCTCCAGCGACAGCGGAGACGCAGCGCCAGGCTGAGGCGCATGCGCGTTGCGCCGCCCGCCTCCGCCCTCAGCCGCCGCCGCCGTGATGGGCACGGCGGGAAGGAAGGAAGGGAGGGAGGGGCGGCCCGTTACATGGCGGCGACGGGGCCTCCGCCTCTCCCGGCAACCGCCGGCCTGAGGCTGGGCTTTCCGTGCCCCGGGCTTTGGAGATGGGTCGTGGGGAGAAGGCCCGGACTGGGGAGATCGAGGTGGGGAGAGACCTCGGCCTGAGGAGAAGCCCCGTGCTGAGGAAACCGGGGACGGGGAGAGGCCTCGGCCGGAGGAAACCAGGCCCTTTCCTGGGCAGGGTCCCCTGAGAACCGCTCACGGTCCCGGCAGAGAGGAAAAGCTTCAAAGCGTGTTTAGTTTCGCAGCTCCTGCCTTTCTACCGCCTGCAAAGGCTAATTAAAAATCAAGGCGCCTGGCTGCCAGGGCCGGGATGAACAGCTTTCTGAGGGGCTGCGGCTCCTTGGAAGGACAAACTGTGTGCCTTGCAGAGCTTTACTAAGAAAATATACAAAAGACTGAAGATGGACGCAAAAGGAGAGACAAAAACCTCTAGCAATTTTTGTCCTGCGTTCAGCTTTTATTAGGTCAAGCATTCATAGAGGAACCCTGCAAATAAGCATTCCTGGAAGAAAACGCAGAGCAGTGTCCGGCGATGCTGCAGACAGTTTTTAACACAATCTTTAGTTTAACGAATGCTGACTTCCACACATGCAGGATGCTTCCCGGGATCTTGCTTCTCACAGGGGTTGCCAACGGAGAAATGTTCTTTGTCAGACACAGCAAGACACACAAGTCCCTCTGGAACAGCATCTGCACGGTGCGCAGTTTGAACTTCATTAGTAATTAATGGGAGCAGAAAGAGCATTAACGTTGAGTCTACAGTAAAGTGCCTTTTTTTTTTGCCACAGTATTTCAACGTGAGCGATGCTTTTGTGCAACCTGCAGCCACGGAGAACGGGTCCAAGCCCTGGTTAGCAGCAGCGGGCGTTCCAAGCCTGGGGAAGACATATAACACGGGTGTTAAAATTAGACTCTTCCTGTTCTCACACTGGCATATAGAAATTACATCATAACTCGGGGAGGGAGGAGAGAATTTCTGGGAAATGCATTGTTTCAAAGAAGGAATTATCTAAACCCAGGCTTTACAAAAAGTAAAGAGAGCTGTCTACAGGTGCAATTTTGTAGTCAAAGCTGATGATGTTCAGAGTGCTGCCAACAGGGGAAATTAATTGTCACCTGCAATCTATTCAGCGTAGAAAGTATATTCACCTGTAAGTAAAAATGGTGCTGCAGTAAGTGTAAAAACAAACAAAAACCCCCAAAGGCCTAGTTCAGTGCCCCTTTCTGATGCTGCTGCTCAGAAGAATCTGTGCTGCTGGTAGCTTTGTAGAGATCAGTCTTCTTTAATCCTTACAACTCAACCAGCTTCATGTCAGAAACAAGGCAGAGGCTGGGAGTGACCTGGAAACACCATCTCTTCGGGTTATGGAAAAGGGAACACACACACTGAGGGTGATGTTGGAAAGAAAAATAAGATGTTTATATAAAAACCTACAGTATATTTAAACCAGTCTTCTATTCAGTTAAAGAAAGCATCTTACCAGAAGGTTGAGGGGAAGGAGTTTTCTGCTTGAATGGTTATATTGAAACAACTTAATTTTGCAGCGATAACTGGTATTTTATGTTGAGGAATATAAATCCATACCTTCTATGGAAGACATGAACGTTTCTTTTCAGCTGGCTGGTTCAGAGGGGTTTGGTAACTGTCATTTTCGTAGGTGTGATAGTAGCTAAGTGAAAAGAGAAGAAAACAGTGAGCTGTGTTGGTTTGTGGAAGAACACTCGGGTTGGGTTCCTCTCGGGAAGAGTCCTGAAACAAAACAGCATAATCACACCATTGATTCCAGGTTGCTGGGCCTTGATCAGGTTGCAAGCGTGAGCTGAAGATGGAGAAATACAAGACCTGGGCACACTTGGGCAAATATTTCAAGTCTCTAAAGCGTATAAAACTTGGGACTTGGCAACAAAGAGCACAGATGCACACCCAGAAGACCGCCTTACCCTTGCTTCTGCTTAGAAATGATTTTCCAGACGATGCCCGCGCCCAGGAGAAGCAGGAGTCCTGCAGCCGCCACTCCTGAGGGAGAAGAGCATGTTATTCTCACTGTATGTAAAATATTCAAAGTAAGCAGAGGGGAACGGTGCCACGGAGGCCACTGTGTAAAGTTAAAGACCCAGCCACAGAAATGCCTCCGAGCCGCTTACCTAGGCCTACAGACCCAGACTTCTGTGACCCTGTAGGGGAGAGAAAAAGAAAAATCAGCAAATTATTCTAACAACATACAGTGTTTCTCAACTGCTGTAAATCACTTTATCGATATTTCGAGGCCCTACGATATGGAATTTCTTAAAAACCACACCATTGGATACTTTCTTCTAGATCTACAGAAAGACATGTGCGTGTTTCAAATGCATTTGCACGTTTCTGTTTGGTCTTTGCCTCCTTCCCGCCGCCCTCACTCAGTTTGCAGGCTGGGACGGGAGGGTCCCAGCTGAAGTCCTCCTGGCACTGAATCCAACTGATGCCTTCCAGGGTGTAACCATCGTCACATTCCAGAGTGATGTTGGTCCCAGAGCGATACGTCATTCCTTTTATGTCTTTCTTAACACCTTGAACTTCTGGGAACACACATCTGATCTCTGAAATCAGAAATTAAAAAAAAAAATAAATAAAAGGACCTTTAATGAGAGGGAATATAAAAGACAAGAAATACAACTGAAATACAACAACAAGACATTGTTCTTGAATTCTTTTGGAATGTAGCCAGGGATTAATTCTTATTCCAGAGGGCAGTTCCTTTCTTTGTGGTGTCTCACTCCCACATGAGGGTGTTTGTGAGATCAGCTCCTCCAGACTGACTTGGCAGATGCAGAATGGGGTGCAGTGGGGGCACCCTGGGAGAGGCCTGACAGAGAAAGAGATTTTTCTGATACTGAGCTACCAGAGCATTTGGAGAAGGAAGGGGTAGGAGGGAAGAATTCTGTGGGAGGTTTAGAGCCAACTGCCTCTTGCCCACTTCTAGTCTGGAGAAGTCCTTTGCCCTTCAAAGATGTCACCAGCCATATTATTTACAAATAATTTCTTAATTAGTCCAGCTGTCTAAGCTATTTATACCACTGATTTCAATGAAGTGAGTTAGTTGCTTCAATTTAAGTATCTAATCACCTTTGACAGTCCAAGCCCAAGAGCTCTGGAGGAGAAGGTTTTCAGTGGAGACCAAAGAAGTAACATCCATGTTAAACCTTTGTGAAACGTCTTTTTTTTTTGTATTTATTTTTACTTTTGCATGTAATAGTTACTAAGGACGCTTCAAAACCACAAGAATGTGGAATGAGAGGGAGAATTTTTCCGTGAGGCTGCTTCCTTAAAGAGCCTCTGATTTATTTACATGAGCATCGGGTACATTATTTCCTCTCATTGTTACCACAGCGTGTTTCAGCTCCTGAGTCACTGGGGTGGGGGCAGCTCCACCGAGGAAGCACCCTGTGTGGATTTTGAATATATTCTGGTGAATGTCCGGTTTTCTGTGCAGGAACACCCATGCTAGGAATCTTGTGACATTCGTGACAATGCCCTCAGTGAAGTTTGCTGGTGACTGACCTTCACCATGAGCTGCACAGAGGGGTCAACTCACAGATTCAGGGGCATTTTCCCAGAGGGGAAGAGTCAGGCTCAGGGGTAATCTAGAGGCCGTCCATCAGAGACAACTTCTTTGATATTATCACAGAATCACAGAATGACATGGGGTTGGAAGGGACCTCTGGAGATCATCTCCTCCAACCCCCTGCCAGAGCAGGTCCACCCAGAGCAGGTCCCACAGGAACGTGTCCAGGTGGGTTTGAATGTCTCCAGAGAAGGAGACTCCACCACCTCTCTGGGCAGCCTCTTCCAGGGCTCTGCCACCCTCAAGGAAAGAAGTTCCTCCTCATGTAGGTGGAACTTCTAATTTTCAAGTTTGTGCCCATTTCCTCTTGTCCTGTCACTGGGCACCACTGAAAAAAGACTGGGCCCATCCTCCTGACACCCACCTTTTGAGTATTTTTGGGTGTTGATCAGATCCCCCCTCAGCCTTCTCTTCTCCAGACTAAAAAGACCCAAGTCCCTCAGCCTCTCCTCATAAGGGAGATGCTCCAGGCCCCTCATCATCTTTGTAGCCCTCTGCTGGACCCTCTCCAGCAGTTCCCTGTCCTTCTGGAACTGGGGAGCCCAGAACTGGACACAGTGCTCCAGATTCCTTTGTTTCCTGCTAATGATGACTGGGGAGTGAGACACACAAAAAAGGGAAGGGAAAAAATGTCTACTCTTCTATTAATAGTAAAAAGGTTTTAATGGAGGAAAGTAACTCACTCATAGCAATAAGACCGGAGATGGAAGACATGCAAGAATTAAAATTGCCTTCCAGAAGTTGTGGTTCTGCCACCACAGATTCCCAACACCACGAGCAAACTGAGCACTAACACACCTGTGCACCGAGGAGGTGGCTGGCTCCAGGTTCCCCACAGCGTGCAGTTGATGACAGCATTCCCGACCAGGGAATAGCCGGGATTGCAGCTGTAGGATACAGACGCTCCGTAGGAGAAGGTGTCAGAGATGTTGCCGTTGAGCTTTCCGTTGGTGATGCTTGGAGGACGGAGACACTTCACAACTGGAAGGTCTGGGAAGAGACAAACAACAGCGTTGACATGAGGGTCCTGGTGGAGTGCCAGGGAGTAGCTAAGGCACCCTTCCTTCGCAGCCTCGATTATTCCCTTTCAATTTCTGTAGGTTTAACAGCTGATTTTGTAACCCTCTAACTCCATCAGGCTTTGGAAATGGGTATAAACCTGATCTTGTTCTTATCGCTCCTTTTGTAGTAAAAGACTCAGATTTAATCCTTATGCAAAGCTTTCCCTAAGGCAAGCCATGTTAAAAATCCCTTTTTTTCTTTGCTCTCTGCAACAAAACCACACCTTGGCAGAGGGGAGGAGGTCGGCTCCAGGCGCCAGACTGTGTGCAATAGATGGATGCTGCCCCGATGAGAGAGAAGCCGGGCTCACAGGTGTATCTTACAGATGTTCCAGGAGTGAAAAACGCTTTTCCTGGGCCACTGTGAGACCCGTGGGTGATGTCTGGAGGCTCGGGGCAGAGCGGCACTGGAAAGGGAGAAGTGCAGATCAAAATAGGGCCCCTAAAGGCAAGAGGGGAAGGTTTTGGGCAGCTGGGGGAGGGCTGAGTGCTCACTCCCCCAGCACTGAGCCAGCCCTGCCCAACCATCAGCACATGGGGCAGAATGGCACTAGAAAGGGAGAAGTGCAGATCAAAATAGGGCCCCTAAAGGCAAGAGGGGAAGGTTTTGGGCAGCTGGGGGAGGGCTGAGTGCTCGCTCCCCCAGCACTGAGCCAGCCCTGCCCAACCATCAGCACAACCATCCCAAATCATCCATAAAGCAGATGGCATCATATACATTCCTTCTTGCACAAAGGAGCGTGGCCCAACATCATCTTTCCTGCTACGTGAGATAAGAAGTTAATAATGAGTTCTTATCTACAAAGGGAATTCCATGCTTGTAAGAGGTGATGAGTTCCTATCTACAAAGGGAATTCCATGCTTGTAAGACCATCTTATTACAGCATCCATCCAGGTTCCTTGTGGCCCCAGAGGTGGCCCTAGCTCATTTTTAAGGTGTTTGTACTGAGAAACCGAGGCACAAGATACAGCAGCAATAAGAACGGGAAAAATTAGGACAGATGGATCTTCAGATCTAAACATGAGACTCTGGATTCCTCTCACCTCCTCAACATCTGACAACACACCACCAAGAGCGATACGGTCGGGAAGGATGGGCAGCTAAGGACAGGTGACACATGCTTTAGGGAGCAGAGGATCCCGTGTGCCCCCAGGCTGGCACTGGGGCTTGTGGAGGTCTTCAGGGATGTTATCAGTGTTTGCATTGGGTTGTAATGATGTCTCCAAGCTGCTGGCTTCTCCATTCCCAGCTCCCACAACCAACAGCGAGGGTATGGAGAACCCTCCAGACCACAGAAGGGGAGCATTTGGCCACAGAGACCTCATTCTTTCTGTAGTCGTGGAGTTTGTTAAAGCAACGGCTCGTTTCAGCAAGTCCTTGGCCAAATACCACTACATATTTAATGCCTTTAGAAAGTTGAGAAGATAAAGAAGAGGATGGCTCCAGACTCTGTATGTTGTACAACAAACAGACTTATTCCTGATGAGGAAGAAGCCGTGTTGGCAGCGATGGTGCCCAGGTGCATCAAAAGTGTCTGAGAAATACCTGCTGTGTTCCCCGTTAGCAGCGCTTAGAGGAGGCAGACACTTCACTACTTGAAAGAGGAGATGGAGAAAATGAGAAGGTGACATTAAAGTGTGAAAAAAAAAGCAATGACAAGAGCGTAAAAAAGTGCAATTAAGCCTCTTCACTGGTAAAAGCAGGACAGGTTGGGAGGAGGAGTTAGTGTTTAGTAAATCTTGCCTCTTCATGTGACAGACCTACCTGGTTTTCTTGGGATATCAGGATGATTATAGGATTCTGCCACTCCATCTAGGTGCAACATGAAGAGTTTAAAATACACATTTGGTTGAGCAAATACAATGCACAAATTTACCTTCATTTTCCACCATCCTGCCTTTATATTTCCAGCAAAAATATTCACTCCTCTCTGATAGTCAGTGTCCTGCCCTGAGCTACCAAATGTCTCCCTTTGAGGAATTGAGGAGCACATGGATTACGGTGAGAAAAGTACAAATCGTGTTTATACTTACAGCATTATCCAAACCAGACTTATCTCCTGTGCGAGAAGTGAGGCATAAATAAAAGGAACAATTTCTGGTTTCTCCTTAAAGTAGACAGTTGGAGCAAACAGGAAAATTGAAGCCAACTTTGGCTTCAGAGATGGGTAGTAGGAGCATTCGGGGAGGGATCTGCCACCCCGAGGAGTGAGAGTGCTGAGGCTTACCCTGCTCGCAGACGGGTACTGGTGGGTCCCACGTTCTGTTGGCTTGGCACTGGGATGTGCCGTGGCCTCGCAAGGTGAAACCTCGATGGCACTTGAAGCTGACGGTGTCTTTGTATGTGTAGTGATATTTGGGAGCAGATACGCTCCCGTTCTGGATCTGTGGGGCTGGGCATACCACCTCTGAAAGAGAAATTCTTTATCTCAAAGAGGGAGCCATGGGTTTGCTGTCATTGCTGAGGGTCTAAAGTCCATCCTTAACGTGCCACTGCTCAGAGAGGCTTCACAGGTAGAACTCGGAGACTCACGTTTCAAGAATTGAGGGCTTTAGAATCATAGAATCACAGAATGGTTTGGGTTGGAAGGGACCTCAAAGATCATCGAGTTCCAACCCCCCTGCCCTGGGCAGGGACCCCTCCCACTAGAGCAGGTTGCTCAAGGCCCCATCCAGCCTGGCCTTGAACCCCTCCAGGGATGGGGCAGCCACAACTTCCCTGGGCAACCTGTTCCAGTGTCTCACCACCCTCAGAGTAAAAAATTTCTTCCTGAGATCTAATCTGAATCTTTTTTCTTCCAGTTTAAAACCGTTTCCCCTTGTCCTATCATTACCCTTCCTGGCACCGTGTCCCTCCCCAGCTCTTCTATAGGCACCCTTCAGGTATTGAAAGGCCGCTATAAGGCGGCCCCTAGGGTTACCACATTATTGTAAGCATAGTTTTGTGCCTGTAACCAGAATAATGCAAATACATTCCAATAAAGATATGAAATGGTGTAAAATCCCTAAGTGCTGTCGTTCTCAGGCCGCATTACTGCACCAAGCTCATGCCGCCCAGAGCAACTCCATCTGAAGGGAAGACTAATTGCAATGATGAACCTCTGCCAAACCGCCTTGTGGTTGGGATAATGGTACAGTATTTGGAAGATCCCAGTTCAGTTTTACTCAATATCCCACTCCTGTACTGCAAGACACATTTTTTCCTTAATTTATTATTTATGTTTGTGAAACAAAAGGGACAACTCCCTGCAGGCATCTCACAGATCTTCACTCTACATGACTCTGAAAGATCAAAAGCTAGCATCTGGAAGGTTTTTAGAAGAAACCAACGAAGCAAAGCAGAACAATCCTAGAGGAATATTATGTTTTAAAAGTCTTACTCCTCTAGGCTTTATTTATTCTAAAGAAATTCCACTTTTTAATTGTAAGGACTTCATTTGGCAATTCTGGGCCAGATCTAGTCACAACCTACTTACTTCGACAAGTGGGAGGACTCCCACTCCATGCCATATCTTCTCCAAACGCCTCACATCGCCGGTGAGACGGTCCAAGCAGTCGGTACCTGCAGTTACACAGAAAGAAATACCAGTTTATACCGGGTCATTCAGCCTGGATTTCCCACTCCCACTCCAGTTTCCTTCTGCAGCCTCCTGATCCGGGCTGGTCCCCGAGATCTTTCTGTTGGTTTGACACTTGGGAACGAAGGACACCGAGTTCCTTCTTCCCAGATCCAAGGGGAGCAGCATCGATCCCAAATGACTGTGGATTTGGTTGGTCGGGTGCTAACCCAGGACTCGGACCCGAGTGATTTCCAAGCTGCTGGAGCCTCCTCGCAGCACTCACTTGGGCTCACAGCTCCTGCTGGGTGGCCATCTGAGAAGGGGGACTGAAAATGAAGTTTGCAAAGTAAAATATTGAGCACAGGCAGGGAAAAATGAGAGATGGTTCTTTCTTTCCTGAGCAGGCAACCGTGGCGTAACTGGAACCAAAAATATAAATTGTGGCTCGCTGTGGGAGAACGGCCCGTGCAGAGAGAGGGCTCTGAGCTGTAAGTTGTTTCCTGTAAGTTGCCCAAGACCGAGCTGAGAAAACTGAGGTGGGAAAAGCAGCCTGAGACTCACCCTTCGTCACACGTGTAGCTCACGATTGACCCGAAAGGGAGATCTGTCAGAATAACTCTGCCGTTCTTTGGTGCTTCTGGGGATTTACACTGTGTCCCTGGGGAAGAACAAGGCTGAGTTTACCCTCCTCTCCCACAGTTTTGTGATGCTACGAGACGGTATTTTAAGGATCTGTCCACATTCAGGCACCAATAAAGATGTGATTTTTAGAAAGCCAATAGCTGCCCAAACTATGTGACTAGTGAAGCCATGTATGAACCTTTTTTTGTTTTGTTTGTTTTTTAAAGACCTGCTTTAAGAAACCCACAAATGGAGCTTAGACAATTTTCAACAACCAACACCAAAGTGACGGAGCTATTCACTTTTACAGAACGCTAGGGCTTCAGACCACGTGTGGTTTTGGAGACATGTCAGGGTTACGGATGCTCCGGGGTGTTTGGTGTATCCCGGCCGGCAGCTGTAGCGCACGGTGTCCCCAGCACGAAACGCCGTCAGGTTTTTGGATGCCTTAGTTAGCTCAGCAAAGGTTAAGTTTGGAGGGGCTCCGCAGCCACCTGTCAGGAAAGAAAACACAGGGAAAAACAGGGATAGCAAATATACAAAGTTGTTTTAAAATGTATAGTGAGTACGCACAGATAAAAGGTTAGGAGCAAGATTTAAAAAAAAAGGGGAGGGACTGAAGGATTCAAAATTTTGGAAAGAGTAAGGGAAAGGATGTGTCTCAGGCTTTCAATGGAGGAAATTCCCAGATTATCCACAATTTCCCCCCGTGGAAGCAGGCAGTACCTGCACAGCGAGGAGGAGGGAGGCTCCAGTTGCCGGAGTCGGTGCAGTGAATCGATGCCTCTCCCAGGAGGCTGTAGCCAGGGTCACAGCTGTAATTCACAACCATCCCAGGAGGGAAAACTTCCAAGCCCTGGCTGCTGTGGTTTCCATTGTCAATATTTGGAGGTGAAGGACATTGCAGCACTGGAGAGAGAGGACAAAACCATGAAAAAAGGGCATGGACAGGGAATATAGGCAGGAAGGATGCACACATGATGTGGGAGACTGGCTAGCTGAGAAGGGTCATGGAGACATGGGCCAGCTAGCCCAGCAAGAGCTTAATAAGCACTGTATTCAGCTTATCTAGCTCCCAATAACTGCAAGGCCTTGAAGTTGTTCTTCTGGCCTTGAAGGCAGCTGTGGTCCAACAACAGAATGTCTGTGATGAGGTAAACATGTAACTGTAAGAAAGGAATTTCGGGCGGAGCTGTCTTTTTAGAGCTAACCAATAATGAGCTCTCATTTTGCAATATGTATGAGCTAATTATGTGTGTGCATAAAAGAATGATAGTGTGTCTAAATGAACGAAGCTTGCTGGTCATTCATATTGAGTGCTCTTGTCTTCCCTCCGTCGCAACAACATGAAGGCACCAAAGTGAACACTGCATGTCCTGGAAGGACGTTTAGACCCGAGGGTGTCACTGGACATGCCACCCCCATCTCCCCACACCAGTTCTGGGGGTGGGCAGGTTTGTGGGCTCCAGGGGAGGGATGCGGGGCCGGGGAGCTGTGGCAGCAGCGGGTCCCACCTGCACAGCGTGGGTACGGGAGGCTCCAGTTCCCCGAGGCCGTGCAGGAGACAGAGGGGTCTCCGAGGAGGGAGAAGCCGGGCTGGCAGCGGTAGCTCACGGACATGCCACTGGTGAAGTTTGTCCCCAGCTCGGCGCTGTGCGTGGCGTGGGCGATGACGGGAGGCGGAGGACAAGGCAGCGCTGACAGGGCAGGAGCAGAGAAAGAGGTTTTAGTGATTTTAGCCCAATGGAGGGGCTCACGTAACACAGCAAAAGACCGTCACACCTGAAGTGATGCGGGTCAGACAGATGGCATCACCTCAGGGCCCTTCCAGCCCAAGGGTGGCCCTAAGGAGCCGGCCGTGTGCCCAGGGGGCCAAGAAAGCCAATGGCATTCTGGCTTGTATCAAAAATAGTGTGACCAGCAGAAGCAGGGAGGTGACTGTGCCCCTGTACTCAGCACTGGGGAGGCCACACCTGGAGTGTTGTGTCCAGTTTTGGGCACCTCAATACAAGAGAGATCTCGAGGTGCTGGAGCGAGTGCAGAGGAGGGCAACGAAGCTGGTGAGGGGGCTGGAAAACAAATCGTCTGAGGAGCGGCTGAGGGAGTTGGGACTGTTTAGTGTGAGGAAGAGGAGGCTGAGGGGAGACCTCATCACTCTCTACAACTACATGAAAGGACACTGTAGAGAGGTTGGTGCTGGTCTCTTCTCACAGGTAATTAGTGACAGAACGAGAAGGAATGGCTTCAAGCTCCAATTGAACATTAGAAAAGAATTTTTCACCGAAAGAGTGGTTGGGCATTGGAACAGGCTGCCCAGGGAGGGGGTGGAGTCCCCATCCCTGGCTGTGTTTAAGGGCCGTTTAGATGCAGTGCTGAGGGACATGGTGTAGGGGAGGACTTTGTAGAGTAGGGGAGATGGTTGGACTCGATGATCCCAAGGGTCTCTTCCAACCTAGACCATTCTATGATTCTAAGCACCTCCGTGCACCACTCACCCAGCTCGCAGGTGGGGACAGCGGGCAACCAGCGGCCATCGGGCTGGCACTTGGCCTCTCGGCTGCCCCACAGAACATGGCCTGGGTGGCACTGGAAGGTGACATTGGCCCCGGGACGGTACACGGCGCTCTGTCCTTCAGCCACATCTCCATCCTGGATGTTGGGGCTTGGGCAGGTGATCTCTGGAAGTGAGAAGCAGCAGAGGGTGGGCTGGGGAAGCGGCTGCCAGAGCCTGGGGTTCCCTTGTTGTTTTTTCAAGGTGAAAATAATTCAGGGAGGGCTGTGCCATCCTGATGGTCTCCCTTTTCACTGTGGGTGACAGACAGCATTGCCAGCTCACCTTCACACCGGGGGTAAGGGATGCTCCAGCTTCCAGATGACAAACAAGACACCATTGTTTTCCCGGTGAGGACGTACCCGGGGTCGCAGTAGTACTTCACTGACATCCCAGGGATGAACACTTGCACATCCTTGCTCTCATGCTGGCCATTTTTGATATTTGGAGGGGAAGGACACTGTAGCACTACAAAAAGGGGAAAAAAGCCATAACTGGTGAAGAGCAGGTACCAGAATCACCCACTGTAGGGTTAGGCAGCCTTTTCTCTTCTTGCTTCCCCATTAACTTTTCCCAAATAGAAGGGATGTCAATGTAATTTGATGAAGGGATGACAATGTCATTATGTTTCACTCCTATTCTCGCCTATTTTCCACCCTTTGTGTGTTTTGAGCTTATTGACATCAAGAATGATATTTCTCTCACTATTTTGGCATCTATAGTGGTTATTTTCCATCTGTGGCCCTGACAGCTTGCTCTGGTTGTTGTTGTACAAGATCAGACACCAGCCTGGCTCGCTCTGTCTCTGGATTCATTTAAGGACATAAAAGCCCTGTGTAGCAAGGGTCTGATGGGGATTCTGAAGATGGGGGGGCAGATATTTATGTGGTTTTTCCTTCCCATCCTGGCAAGTGGCCCCTTTACCTCCCAGGTGAGGCGGTTGCCCCCTGCCAGGTGCCCTCACACAGCGGGTCAGAAGAAATCAGCTGCCACCCACCGCCCCATTGACACTTACTCTTTTCACAGATGGGAATGTGGTTTTTCCTTCCCATCCTGGCAAGTGGCCCCTTTACCTCCCAGGTGAGGCGGTTGCCCCCTGCCAGGTGCCCTCACACAGCGGGTCAGAAGAAATCAGCTGCCACCCACCGCCCCATTGACACTTACTCTTTTCACAGATGGGGACAGGAGGGTCCCACGTGCCCCCAAACTGGCACTGGGACTCTTGAGAGCCCTTCAAGGCGTAACCAAAATCGCATTCGAAGACAATGGTGTCTCTGGGTTTGTAGACGGTCTCCAGCCCGGTCGTTCTTCCGTTCTTGATCTCTGGCCTCTTGCAGCCGGTTGCTGGAAGTGAAGAACATGAGGAACTGCTGGGACACGAAGCCCAGCCTGGCTGTGGAGGGGCACTGACCAGGGACAGGACCTGCTGCTGAACCTGCCCATCACTCCTCAACATTATTGACTCTTAATCTTTTGAACCTCATGAGGTTCACCTGGGCCCACCTCTCCAGCCTGCTCCGGGGAGACCTAATAGCAGCCTTCCAGTACCTGAAGGGAGCCTACAGGAAGGCTGGGGAGAACCTGTTTAGAAAGGCCTGCAGCGACAGGACGAGGGGCAATGGCTTCAAGCTGGAGGGGAACAGATTGAGACTGGAGATGAGGAGAGGGTTCTTCACTGTGAGGGCGGTGGAGCACTGGAACAGGTTGCCCAGGGAGGTGGTTGAGGCCCCTTCCCTGGAGATATTCAAGGAGAGGCTCGACGAGGCCCTGGGCAACCTGGTCTAGTTGGGGGTGTCCCTGCTGACTGCGGGGGGGTCGGACTAGATGGCCTTTGGAGGTCCCTTCCGGCCTGGGCAATTCTATGATTCTATGATTCTATGATTTTGCAAAATATCATTATTTGACTGCTCCCAAGAGTCTATCCTAAATACCATTATTTGACTGCTCCCAAGAGTCTATCCTTACTGAGGGACAGAAAGGGAAATCCACAGAGGCATGTGGAGCTCTCCTGCTCATGGGACCTTTGGTCTGTTCCTCTCGCTGGAGATGAGACCAAGAGCCAAGAAGGAGGAAAGTGGCCGGGGAAAGATAAAAGAAGGCAACACAAAACAGACCTTCACAGCGGGGCCAGGGCCGGCTCCACGTCCCGGCAGGGGTGCAGCTGATGGAGGCGTTCCCCACCAGGGAGTAGCCCTCCCTGCAGTGGTACCGCACAGCCGAGCCCGGGGGGAAGGTGGCCGAGGACTGGCCACTGTGGTTCCCGTTGGCGATGCCTGGAGGAGGAGGACACTTCGCCTCTGCAAAGGAGAAGGAAAGACAGATGAGAAGAAAAAAATTTTAAATCCAACCTTCAAAAAGCAAAGGAGGAAGCCAATGAATTCCATTAAGGTCTTTGAATAAATATCTGCTGGTTTTGTTCTCTTCCTGTCAGGGGGTGTAGCCTCCACCGCAACCGTGGTCATTTCTTCTGCCACTCATGACCAACCTTGCCAGGGAGGATGGACACCCATGCGCTGCAGAGCCATACCTCCCACCATGGCGATGGGGACAGACACCCCCAGCCCTACCTTCACACCATGGGGACGGACACCAGCCCTACCTCCACAGCGTGGTGGTGGCCCACTCCACACGCCGTGCTCCCCATCCACCGTGGTGCAGATGATGGAGGGCTCTCCAGCCAGCAGGTGGCCGGGGTCACAGGTGTAGTTGACCACGACGCCGTAGGAGAAGGTGTCCATCGAGTGCCCGCTGTGTCTCCCGTGGGGGATGGCCGGAGGCGGATCGCAGACGATACCTGTGGGCAAGTACGAGGTGGTTTTAGCATCAGCAGCACCCAGGGTTTGCAGGACACACACAGTTCCCAGGAAGGGAACCCATGGGGATGGCTCCATCTCAGCCATGATGCTCTCTGGGTACAATGACCCAAATTATACACAGACAAACCTTGTATGGAAAAAAAAAAAATCATATGTGGGAAGGAAAAGCTGCCCCCTCCTGTGAGTCACTTCCTTGCTGCCCATGTCTGAAGGTGGTGGGACAATTCTTACCTCCTTTTCCGTAACCATCAGAGACGCATGCAGAGACCAGTGAGAAATACTCACCCCAGTAACAGAGACTTAAAAATAGTAATGGTTTTACCAGTTTGGACCAGGATAAATAAAAGACCTTTGGAATCATTTTCAAAAGTGTCCAAAACAAAACAGAATTAAAAGAAAAATGAAAGATTTTACACATACAGTGACTTGAGAAATCTTTTCCAATAAAAACCTTTGTCTTGAAAGACGTGCCACTTTCTCTTGCAAACCATCTCCAAGGACCTTTTCTTGTGGCCTACTTACGCTGGCAGACAGGAGGGTCTCCACTCCATGAGACACGTGTGCCAGAGACCTCGCATGTTCTCTGGGAGCCTCCAACCAACTTGTACCTGGAGTCACACAGAAGGATTTATTCATTTACTTGAAAAGCCTTGAGATTTATTTCCAACCCTTGTAAGTGGCAGCCGAGACTTCTGACTTGGGAACTGGGTTCCTTTGTGTAAAGCTGAAAAATGCTTCCCTCTCAGCTGAGCTCACTCTGTCAAGAGACTCACCCCTTGTCACAAGTGTAATTCACTGTGGACCCGAAGAGGAGGTCTGTCAGGACGAGAGCTTTGCCGTTCTCTGGATCCTCTGGATTCGCACATTGTTTCCCTGGAAGGGAACGGGGGCCACCATTACCCTCTGCTGCTCCCCCACATCCCACCCGGGGAGAGCAAGAGCTCTGCCGTTCTCTGGATCCTCTGGATTCACACATTGTTTCTCTGGAAGGGAATGGGGGCCACCATTACCCTCTGCTGCTCCCCCACATCCCACCCGGGGAGAGCAGACTGCGTAAAGGAACCCATAAAGCTAGAAAAATGTGAAAATCCAGCCAAGCCTGGCACTTGAGGTCTTTCAGCACGGTCAGGACATACTTTTACAGAACTCCAGCACCACAGACCACGTCCGATTCCCAAGACACGTGATGGCTGTTGGCATCCCTGGGTGCTGGGTGTACCCGGGCCGGCACACGTATTCCACCGTCCCCCCCACAGGAAAGATGGTCTGGTTTCCATACGGCTCCTTCAGCTCAGCAAACACCAGCCTGGTAGGTGCTTCACAGCCAGCTACCAAGGAAAAGAAGCCAGCTCGGTTGTTAAAGGAGTTGAGAAAAAGCAGATTTTGGGAGAGCAAGGGGAAGGTGAAGTTTCGGAACACTTGCCCGGCTCGCAGACTGGCACGGGTGGCTCCCAGGTGTTGGTTGGTTGGCATCGTACCACGCTGTGCCCACGCAGGACATAGCCTGGCTCACACTCAAAGGTGACGGTGTCCTTGTGTGTGTAGGCTGTCCTCGGTGACACTATTCTCCCATTCTGGATCTGTGGGACTGGACATTTTGGCTCTGGAAAAGAAGTTCAGGACCTCAGAGCAGGCACTTGCACAGTGGGCAGAGCTCTGCTGCTGCCAAGCCACGTGGGGTTGCAATCCCTTTTAGGACACAAGTCTCAAAATAATTTTCTCCTGGATGATTACTGCCTGCATCTGGTGATGTCAAACACTGAGGGAGAGACAGGAGATGGAATCATAGAGGAGCTGGTTAGAGCTGGAAGGGATCTTAAAGATCAGCTGAGGGAGAGACCGGAGCTGGAATCATAGACTGGTTAGAGTTGGAAGGGACCTTAAAGATCATGGAGTTCCAACCCCCTGCCCTGGGCAGGGACACCTCCCACCAGACCAGGTTGCTCCAAGCCCCCTCCAGCCTGGCCCTGAACCCCTCCAGGGATGGGGCAGTCACAGCTTTTCTCTGGGCAACCTGGGCCAGGCTCTCACTGCGCCAATGCCTGGAGGTTTCCCAGCCTTTCCGAAGTGGAAGCAGTGGGGTGGGAGGATTGCACCCCAGCATTTACCCCCAGCCCTACCTCCGCAGAGCGGGGGGGGCCCGCTCCACACGCCGTTCTTCCCGTCCCGGGTGGTGCAGTGGATGGAGGGCTCCCCGTGCAGCGGGTACCCGCGGTCACAGCCTCCTGCCTGGAAGGTGAGGATGCTGGAGGCAGCGGGGTGCTCCTCCAGCCTCCTCCCTCTGCCTCCCCTTGGCTGGGAGGACAAACAGCCCAGACAAACTAGCACTCGGGCAGGGGGTTTCCCAGCCTTTCCGAAGTGGAAGCAGTGGGGTGGGAGGATTGCACCCCAGCATTTACCCCCAGCCCTACCTCCGCAGAGCGGGGGGGGCCCGCTCCACACGCCGTTCTTCCCGTCCCGGGTGGTGCAGTGGATGGAGGGCTCCCCGTGCAGCGGGTACCCGCGGTCACAGCTGTAGGTTACGGATGTGCCAAAGTGGAATTCATCCAGGAGCCTGCCCGTGTGCTTCCCGTTGGGAATGTCCGGAGGTGGCTCACAGGGGATACCTGCAGAGGTGCACAACAAGGCGTCCAAATTCAAGCTCCAACAGGGGAGGTTTAGATTGAACATTAAGAAATAATTTTTCACCGAAAGAGTGGTCGGGCATTGGAACAGGCTGCCCAGGGAGGGGGTGGAGTCACCATCCCTGGCTGTGTTTAAGGGCCGTTTAGATGCAGTGCTGAGGGACATGGTGTAGGGGAGGACTTTGTAGAGTAGGGGAGATGGTTGGAGTCGATGATCCCAAGGGGCTCTTCCAACCTAGACAATTCTGTGATTCTATGAAATTCAACAGCAGCACCAGGGGGCTTGAAATCCCTCTGTGGGGCATAAACACTTGTCCTGGAGATGGAGGAACCTTCTAGCTGAGGGCAACTGGATCCCATCTCCCTGCCCAGCTATTGCTGTGACAGGCAGGAAACAGACCAGTAAGAAACCTCTACCAAGGAAACGCATACATGCTTTATCTTTTCTACTGTTTAACAAGTAAAAAACACCAAAGTTTTCTTTGGTATCATCTGCATAAAATCCTGACTTTTCAGCTGCACACAGTGCAAAGGCACGCACAGGCAGAAATTTGTGTGTCTCTTGGCTTAATGTGTACCTGGAGAATCTGGGAGATGTTTTAAAATCCCATAGCATACCAGTAAGTGTTTCTTTCTTCATATGGAAGTGTCACCTAATCAGCAGCAGTACTTAATCAGCAGAGAAACACCCAGGTGTAACTGCTGAGGTGAGGCACGGCAGCACTTTGGGTACAAATCTGTGCTCATAGTGACAGAGAGAGCTTCGGGACCTTGGGGTTCTCCCTCTGCCACCCCCCAGAGCTCTGCCTCCCCTTAGGGTTGTGCCTGGGTCTCTCAGTGTCTAACAATAAGGTGAAGATAATATTTTTCCCTTCCTTTTTGTAATGGGCTTGTGATAGTCAGAGACAGGACACCCGAGTACTGCTGGAAAAGCTCCAGCTGAGACACTGCTTCCTATAATCACTGCTTTGAGATCTTACGCCTTTTCCCAGAACATTTTTCATGTGACATCACAACCTTCTGATATTTTTTCATGCCCACAGAGCAGAGAAATTCCCCCTGAAAGCTTTGATGGGAAAGATTTGGCAGTCTCTGCTGGAAAATATTTACACAATCCGTGTAAAGCCCCGGCGCTGGAAGCTACTTACGCTGACAGGTGGGAATGGTGCCGCTCCACGCGACGCTGCCACCAGAAATCTGGCATTGCCTGCTGGCCTGTCCGATTAACCTGTGCCTGGTGTCAAAAGGATTGAACGTTCAGCCCAAGTCACATCAGTCTGAGTTACTGCTCCCTCCTGAGCACCTGGGATTGCACCATCAGCAAAGCTGTGGCCGTGAAGAAGCTCCCATCCTTTGCCTGACCAGTTTCAGCAGGTACAGGTACACGTAAGGTAGGGAACACCTCATGTGTTCTGTAGGTACAGAGCTCTTATGGGCAGAATCCATGTCTTGGGAGTGAATGAAAAGGAGACTTACCTGATAGATCCCTCCTCGCTGTTCTAAGCAGTAGCCAAAACCAGGACTTACCCTTCTTCACAGCCGTAGACCACAGTTGACCCAAACAGGAGATCTGTTAGGGAAATAATTTTCCCATTCTCTGGTTCACCAGGATGACGACATTGTTTCTCTGGGGGAGGAAAAAACCCTCGTTTTAGGCTTCTACACCATACAACAGACTCAAGTATCACTCCAGTAATCTGCCCCCATTTCCAGTCACCCCCAAAGTGGGTTTCAAATAGCATAAAGTTCCATGGCTTTACTAGTCACATATTATTTGAACACCAGATTGAACACCAGAATAATGGTAAGGTTTTGGCAGCATGGACAGACCCCAGCACCTATTCCTTCTCGAGCAACGGACACCAAATCAAGGAGCTATTCACTTTTACAGAACTCTAGTGCTTCTGACCACACTCCGCTCTCAAGGCATGTAATAGTAGGTGACATTCCTGGGTGTTTAGAATATCCAGGTCGGCAAGTGTATTGCACAGTCTTCCCAACAGAAAAATCAAGCTCATTTGTGTGCTCCTCATTGAGCTCAGCAAAGTGCAACCTTGGAGGAGCACCACAACCACCTATCGAGAGAGAAAACAGACATGAGAATCCAGCAGGAGAGGTACAAGCACAGAAACAACACGGTGACGAGGAAAGGTGTTTGGTTTGCTTTGCAAAATAGTTTAATATGAATGGAGCCATTATTAAGCAAACACAACGTATTTTCCCAACGGATTCCAGAGGATTAGGTTCTTATTCCCAGGATGTAGTTAAACCTTCCACTCACGGGGTTTAACCACATTTTTTTTAATGGGGTTAGGGGACATAAAGTAGTGGTGTGCTCCATGGCAGCCACGTCAGGGTTTACCTGGAAGCTCAGGGCTGTTTGGGAGCTCCTGGCGATGGTAGTGTCTGCGGCAGAGGGGAGCAGGAGGGTGCCAGCTGCCATCCTCCTGGCAGAGGGCTTTGGCACTGCCTACGAGGCTGTAACCCTCCTGACACTGAAATGTCACTGTTTGCCCCGGTGCGGAGAGAAGTCCTTGGCCACCAACAAGCCTTCCGTTCTGTACGTCTGGGTTTATGCAGACAGTCACTGGAAATGAGGATGTGCCAAGGTGATGTGCCAATAGGGGTGGGAACAAAATAAAACAAAGCAAAACAAGAAGCCCACAGGCTGTTAGTATCACAACAATAAAATTTAGTTGGGGGTGTCCCTGCTGACTGCGGGGAGGTCGGACTAGATGACCTTTGGAGGTCCCTTCTGGCCTGGGCAATTCTATGATTCTATGTGACATCTACATAAACCTCCCCAGCCCCACCTGCCCTACAGAAGGGCTTGAAATTAGTTTAAACCATACAACACTTTAGCTGGGATTAACCTTCTACAAGGACCTGGTAGCAATGGTACAGAAATACCCTGCTCCAGGCTCATTGGATGAAAGCTTTACCACTATAAAACTGTGTACTTCATTAAAGGAGAGTTTAATCCCTCACTGAAGGGCTCAGTGCCAACAGCCAGGGTCTCTCCTGTGCTCAGAGCCACACTGGGACCCTCTCACCCAAGGGGACGGGCCACAGACTCACCTTCACAGCTGGGGACAGGCCGGCTCCAGTTCCCTGATGCTCCACAAAACACAGTGGCCTTTCCCACCAGGTAGTACCCGGGGTCACAGGTGTATGTTACAAACATTCCCATGGTAAAAAATGCTTTGCCCTGGCCATCGTGGTACCCATTGCGGACCCCCGGAGGCATGGGGCACGGGCGGGCTGTAAGAGGGGGACAGAAAGTCTAACTCAGCCAGAGAACAGTGTGTGAGGGGACAGGAGCCAGCGTGATGCTGCATTGATGGGTTCAAGCCCATGGGTTAAGGCACCACACTCACCCCTCTTGCAGACAAGCACTGGAGGGTCCCAGGTCCCCCCTGGCTGGCACCGGGTCTCATAGGTGTCCTCTGCGAAGTAACCAGCATCACAGTCAAAGTGGAGCATCTCCCCAGCTTTGTAGGTGCTCTGTGGCTTGTAGACGTTCCCGTTCTGCACCTCGGGTCTCTTACATCCGATTGCTGCAGGGAACATGGAGAGCATCCTTTAAGCTTCCCTGCGGGGGCCAGATCCTGCCCCCAGGACACGCAGCATCCTTTGTGCCAGCCCCAGGGCCAGCAGCACCTCAGGCACCCACCTTCGCAGCGGGGCAGGGGCTGGCTCCACAGCCCGCTCTGTGTGCAGCTGATGGACACGTTCCCCACCAGCTCGTAGCCCTCCCTGCAGCTGTAGGACACCCTGGAGCCCCGGGGAAACTTCTCCAAGGACTGTCCACTGTGCAGCCCGTTGGCGATGTTTGGTGGCCGAGGACACATCACCTCTGGAGAGGGAGGAGAAAAGCCCATGAGAGCATCTGGGAGAGGCGATGCCTGAGAGACAGCTCAGCTCAGACCCCTGGCACATCAGACACGGGGGAGGCACAGGGTTGCACCCCAGGTACTGCCAGGGCTGTCCTGACAGCCAGCCTTTGGGTGTCCCATCTCTCCTCCAACTTCTCTGGACAAAGAAGGTTGAATTGATGGGGACAGGCCACAAACTCACCTTCACAGCTGGGGACGGGCCGGCTCCAGTTCCCTGATGCTCCACAAATGGGGACAGGCCGGCTCCAGTTCCCTGATGCTCCACAAAACACAGTGGCCTTTCCCACCAGGTAGTACCCGGGGTCACAGGTGTATGTTACAAACATTCCCATGGTAAAAAATGCTTTGCCCTGGCCATCGTGGTACCCATTGCGGACCCCCGGAGGCATGGGGCACGGGCGGGCTGTAAGAGGGGGACAGAAAGTCTAACTCAGCCAGAGAACAGTGTGTGAGGGGACAGGAGCCAGCGTGATGCTGCATTGATGGGTTCAAGCCCATGGGTTAAGGCACCACACTCACCCCTCTTGCAGACAAGCACTGGAGGGTCCCAGGTCCCCCCTGGCTGGCACCGGGTCTCAGGGGAATGGGCTGGCTCCAGTTCCCAGACACTCTGCAAAAGACACGGGCTTTTCCCTCCAGGTAGTAGCCGGGGTCACAGGTGTATGTTATAAACATCCCCATGGTAAAAACTGCTTTGCCCTGGCCGTCGTGATTTCCGTGGGCGATCTCTGGGGGCATGGGGCACGGGCGGACTGCAGGGTGGGGACAGAAAGTCTAACTCGGTGGGAGAAAGGTGTGGAAGGGAATGGGGGCTGAGGTGATGCTGTGTTGATGGGTTCAAGCCCATCACAGGAACGGGTATCCCTGCAGACACTGTTCCTGCAGAGCTGCTCTTGTGGAAGCAGTGGGCACCACACTCACCCCTCTTGCAGACAAGCACCGGAGGGTCCCAGGTCCCCCCCGGCTGGCACCGGGTCTCATAGGTGTCCTCTGCGGCGTAACCAGCATCACAGTCAAAGTGAAGCATCTCCCCAGCTTTGTAGGTGCTCTGCGGCTTGTAGACGTTCCCGTTCTGCACCTCGGGTCTCTTACATCCGATTGCTGCAGGGAACATGGGTGGCATCCTTTCAACTTCCCTGCGGGGGCCAAATCCTGCCCCCAGGACACGCAGCATCCTTTCTGCCAGCCCCAGGGCCAGCAGCACCTCAGGCACCCACCTTCGCAGCGGGGCAGGGGCTGGCTCCACAGCCCGCTCTGTGTGCAGCTGATGGACACGTTCCCCACCAGCTCGTAGCCCTCCCTGCAGCTGTAGGACACCGTGGAGCCCCTGGAAAACCAGTCCAAGGACTGTCCGCTGTGCAGCCCGTTGGCGATGTTTGGTGGCCGAGGACACATCCCCTCTGGAGAGGGAGGGGAAAAGAAATTGCCCTGTGGGTCTGCTGTTTGCTATTTTGTGTGCTGCTGGGGCTGTTTGGGTAATATCAGGGTAACATCCTGAATTCTGCTCAGTTTTTGGTTCCATTTGTTCTATCATGTAGTAGTTAACAAAATGTTAACAGCAGCACCAAGATTACCATCGCACTACGCACGGAGGAAATTACTACTAAATAAGGACAGTCCCAAGAGGGGAACCCACAAGCACATCATGGGATTTGACAGAAGATGCACGTGGACGTGGAAGCGGGAAGAGCAGTGAGAAGCTGTGATTTACTTCCCGTTCCAGGAGGAAGATGAAAACATCCCACATCTGACCAGAAGCAGAGTCACAGAAATCCCCCCCTGGGGCAGCAGGTCCTGCCCTCCCGGTGCTGGTCTGGGGCTCTGGGGAGGTTCCAGCCTCCTGCCAGGCAGCAGCTCAGCCCCAGGGTTAACATCTCCCCATCCCTCTGGCAGACCCCAGTGGGGCAGGTTGCACCCCTTGTGTCCCCCCCCAATCTCCTTTCTCCTGCGCTGTTTCTGCCCCTCTGAGATGGGGAGGGGGTTCCCTTGGTTTGGGGTCACAGAAATCCCCCCTGGGGCAGCAGGTCCTGCCCTCCTGGTGCTGGTCTGGGGCTCTGGGGAGGTTCCAGCCTCCTGCCAGGCAGCAGCTCAGCCCCAGGGTTAACATCTCCCCATCCCTCTGGCAGACCCCAGTGGGGCAGGTTGCACCCCTTGTGTCCCCCCCCAATCTCCTTTCTCCTGCGCTGTTTCTGCCCCTCTGAGAGAGGGAGGGGGTTCCTTGGTTTGGGAAGCCAAGTGAGGAGGAGGGACGCAGCCTGGCTTTGCCTTCCCCCTGAATTTGGGAAGACATGGGAGGGAGCTTTGCCCCAGGGTTGTCACCACGCTGGGACACTCACCCTTTTTGCAGGTGGGCAGAGGTGGTCTCCATCTGAAGTCAGGTCCACACGTGCTCGTGCGGGAGCCCCGCAGGGTGTACCCCGTGTTGCACACAAAGCTCACGGTGTTCCCTGTCCTGTAGACACGGCGAGCAATGGACACTCTCCTCCCATACTGGACACTTGGGAACGGGCACTGGGAAGCTGGAAAAGGCAGATAAATAAATGGGGTTTTGCCTACACAGCTCTCGGGCTGTTCCTGCCTGCGATGGTTGCCGTGTTGATGGTCTCCACGCAGCCTGTTGGTCCCTGAGCAATGGGATATGGTGGAGGATGCAGCTGAGGCAGGTGCCCCCAGGTTCTCCCTGTGCTGCTGGGGGACCCTGCTGCTCCCTCAGCTGGCACGAATTGGGGGTCCAGGACTTCGTGTCGCTCTTGACCTGGTGAGGTCAGGAACCTTCCATGGCCTTTCTGCATGTTTCTGACCCACAGGCTGGGAAGAACATCCCCTGGCTCCCATCCGACCTGGAGAAACGTTGGCAGGACCCTTGAGGACCAACGATGGTCCAGGGGTCTGTGCTGTGGGGACATGTAGCTGGGCTGGGGGTGCAGAGGGTGGGCTGGGGGTGCTGTGTCATGCTGCCCATGGCACCACTGTGACGGTGTGGGGATGGTCCCTCACCAGCCAGGGCAAAACCTCTGCTGCTACAAAGGACCTGGCTGTGAACCTGCTGCTGGTGTGTGGCCAGGGGTATCTGGGGGTTGTTTGGGTTGAACCCCCAGAGAGAGAAAGAGAGAGGGAGATGTGAGAGAGGGGGGTGGGCAGGCGGACGTTCAGAACCAAAACCACAGAGAAATAGCTGGGCAGATATTTGCACTAGATACGGGAATGGAAAAAGAAGGTTAAAAAAAGAAAAAAAAAGAAAAAAAGGCCTTTCACTGATAATATCATTTGGGTTCCTGAGACAGGGGCCACAGCTTCCTCCCTCTGAGCTGTCGGGGTGCAGCCCATCCCTCTCGCACCCCCCGAGGGTGGCTTTGCTGAGAACCACGGCTCTGTGGCACCCAGCAGCACGGGCCAGCAGTGACTGGAGAACCCAACGCACAGACATCAGCTGAACACAGCGAAAACCAAGTATAACAGAAGAAAATATGACTTAACCTTTTCGCAAAATGTTGACTTAATGATAATTTAAAAAAAAAAAAAACAAAACAAAAGCCAAACAACATAACCTGACCCTGCAGAGGCACTTGCCTCCCAGCCTGCCACCGAGCCACCTAAGGCAGCAGGGTCAGCTAAGATGCCAGTGAACAATTAACACGATTAAGGACACAGGCAGAAGACTTCTCCATACGGTACCAAAACACATCCCCAACCTTGCCAGGGCAGCCAGGCTGCAGCACCTCCGCTTGCGAGGCAGAAAGGAGTGAACAAAACCATACTGTGGAGACGGAGCCAAGTTTCTGTAGATTCGGGCTACCCTGTCCAAAACAAAAAGGCACCGCAGGCTGCCTGCCAGGCTTTCATGCCCTGTGGACTTTCAGACTTGTTTGCTGTTTTGCTCTCAAATTTCTATTTGTCACAACAAGTTTCAACTTGACAGAGCTCAAACACAAGCTGTTACTGGAACGGGCTCCTCATCTCGCTGCTGTGAGATGCTGCATCCGTAACCAGCTTTGGCACTTCAAACACAGGGGTCAAGCCCCTTCTTATGAGAACCTGGGCAGGTTGTGAAAGACTCTCCATAACAAGGTTTTATTTCCCCTTCCCATGGCTGCTGAAGGGCCCAGGGTGGCCCCAATGGTGTCCCAGAGCATCCTTTTCATTAGGAGGCTCAGAGGCTCTGGGATGCTCAGGGTCTGACATGCCGAGGTCCACCTGGGACCAGCACAGGGCTCTTAACTATCTCCCCAGTGAAAAGCAAAAGGATCAGCGCAGAGAGGAGAGGAGCAGCGGGGAGGAGGAGGAGGGTGGTGGGAGGAAGGCCCCGGAGGTGCAGAGCTGCTGGTGTCTCCCTTACCTTGAGCCCCAGCCGCGGTGGCCAGGAGCAGAGCGGAGCTGCCCAGGAGGCAGAGGGTGAAGGTGAGCACCATGCTCCGGTTCCCAGCGCAGACTGGGGCTTCCAGGGGGGCTGGAGGAAGATATGGGGACCCCAGTTCCCCCCACTGCCCCCCACACACGGAAGGAGCTGCAGCTGTGGGGCTTCCCAGGGCCACGGGACAGGAAGCTGTGGGCTCCCCAGCACAGGGGGGGTGCAGCCACCACCCCTGGGGATGCTGCAGGTCCCACACATCACTTCTCCTGATGCTTTGGGCTCCCAGAGCAGGGGAGGAGGGGTCCCTGGGACCCAGTGGCACCTGTGGAAGAGAGGAGGGAGCAGACACAGAGGTGCCATTAGCCAAATTGTGCCCTCCATGGAAGGGTATCCGTGATCAGAAGTGGCCTGGGCTTTGGCCAAGTCCCCAGGGGGTGACAGCAGCTCTTCCCAGGAAGCAGGGAAGGGCAGAGCAAGGCATTCCTTCCTCCCATACACCTGGTACTGGTGGCAGCTGGGGACATGTCTGTCCCTGGGGGCATGTCTGTCCCTGGGGGCCGTGGGTGCAGCCCAGCCCCACACACCGCCCCCCCTGCAGCCATGGACCCCAATCCTCCCAACCCAACCCTGGCTGCCCCAGGATTCATCCAGGCCAGTGTCATCCCTGGGAGAATAAAAATCCAGAGACAAAACTTCTTGATGTAGGAGCAGGCACAGCAGCCTCAGCTCCCCACCTCTCACGGCAGAGGATACTTTCCAAGCCCAGAACAAGCAGCAAGACGTGTGTTACTCAAGTCTTTCGATGCCTTTTATTGACAGAGAACTTCTAATATTTACATGTTGGACATTTCTGCTTTGGAATTGCACTCGGCTGGTTCCACTCACAGTAAGATTATGTACAACACAGTTACAAAGACAGCAGATAAACCCTCTTCAACATTTACCCCTGTAAGCCGTGTCACAGCATTCAAAATTCCTTCCGTTTGGTTGTGGGAGATCATTTCAAGCTGATCTCCAAACCAGGAGGTAAATCACATGGAAAAACTACCCTGGACTATGGAGTGGGGATTAAAAATGACAAACCATGACAACACCAAGCCATGAGGCTTCATAGTTGTGGTTTTTTTCATCTAGACACTCACATACCTTACCGTAAGAGATATATAAAAATGACCAACGATCTGCAAGTGCTTATTCTGCAAGACTGGCTTCCGAAAACAGCCCCTCATGGTGCCCCAGTGACAGCAGGAGAGAGCTCTGCTGGGAAGGGAGAACTTTGTGGGTCTGTCTGGAACAAGACTAACGTGTTGATGGAAATGGCTATTTGTGGTTTCCCCCTCTAATTAGAGGCATGTTCCTGTTAACAGGAAAGCACTGGTGAAAATGCAGAAACAAAAAGTTTGTAGTAGACACATTTTGAATACTTCTCATCCCCAGCTGTGCGTCACAAGAAGCTCCAACAGGTCATTTCCCTCTGCAGCAGACAAAAAACCCGAAATCTCAAAATCTTGCTTTACCAGCAGCTAGAGGTCCTGCTGTCTCGAGCTGGATTCAGGCGTGAGCTGAATACAAGTTTAAATCCAATCACAGTTTTCTTCCCCTTATAAATAGGATTCCCAGGAAACCTTCAAATCTTTACTTCATTTTCTGAGATGCTACATACCTCATTAGCTTATTAAATCATTTAGCAATGCTGAGTTAAAGCCAGGAGAGGCCATGAACACCGTGATATGAGCTATCAGTTAAACAAATCAAGGGCATTTTTCCCCTGTGTGTTTGATTTAGACATGGCAAGTGAGGTCCCATCACCTGAGCTGTCCCCGTGGCACGGTCTGGGGACAGCAGTGCTGCCCCACTCACCCCTGTCCACCTTCCCCAACCGTCCCCACCGCAGCGATGAGCTGGGTCGGGTCAGACAGGATGAAAGCAAAGTGCATAAAGACGTGGGGTTTGTGCCCTGTTCCCCACGGAGGAGTAAATTAAGGCTTGATGAGCATCTGCACCTGCTTTGGGTGCAGCGTCAGAAAATGTCAGATTAGCAGTCTTCAGAATAAGGCATTTATGTTTTTTTCTCTCTCTGCTAAAAATTATTGATCTGCATGGATTGATATTTGCACAACGATTCAGACTTCCCTTGAAGTAGTGGCAAAACCTGAGCTTTTAGAGGAACTTTTTCAATGCTTTCAGTACCCACAGATAATACCCGACTTGGGCAAAAACTTCATTTTTTCAAGTGAATATCACTCACACAAAGGCATTCACCATTAATCCTGTTGGCAGCAGCACCGCTTTCCACCTCAGGATGCTTAGGAAAGCCCTGACTCCTGGTCAGGACCAGGCAGAACATGACTTGAGCGAGGCTGAGAAGCTGAAGGTGGGGAGGTACCAAAGCGTAGGATTTTCTCCAGCCTACTCTATTGCAGGATGAAGGTCTTTGGCATCGTTACGACCCAACACGGGGATAACAGCAGTTGATTTGTGAAGAGCATCTTCACATCATCTTCTCCCGGGGGTGGCAGAGAGCTGCCCAGCCCCGTGCACGGGCTGCTGTGCCCAAGGTCAAGTCGTTGCCACAGCCTGAAGCGTGAGGGCTTTGTCATCCAAGGTCAGTTGTCGCTGCTTCAAGGCCAATTTCACAGGAGGCAAAAGCAGCGCTCTGGGATCAGGTCAGTGGCATCAAGTCCAACGGGTCTAGAGGTGCCTTCCCGTTCCCTAATCTAGATGTTCATAACCAGCATCGCCAGGAGGAAGGGGAAGATTCCTACAAGAGTCAAATAAGAAGCTTAAGTCTTCACTCCAAACATACCTAACTGTCTTCTCCCTCCCTCGATGGTCCCCTCCATCCCCCTCCCAGCCTTTTCACAGCATCATCTTAAAGCAAGAAAAAATATAAATCTGACAACAGCCGGTGGTGGAGGGTGTTCAAGCTTATCTCAAGCAGAACACACAGGAGCCAGTAACACAACAATAGGCAAGAGCGTGGTACGGGGGCTCAGGAATATGTTTTACTTACCAACAATGATGAAGTTTGCTCCATCTGGAAAGGAAACGAGTCAAAATGTGAAACTCAGCGTTCAGCGAGGTAATTCACCAAACCACACAACACACAGCAGCTCAACTCAGAGCTAACAGGAGACAATTCAAGCCACACGCAGAAGGGGATCCCTGCTTTGGGTCAACATGCTCAGCCCAACTCCAAGGACATTTATCTGCTAAAACCCAGATGTATTTACCAGGACACATTTCCACTCGCCTGCGAGTCTGTGCTGCAACCTAATCGTGCTCTTTTGACACTAGATTTTTAACGGAAGCTATTTCAGGAAGCATCGAAGGCTTATTAGCAGAACGAGCTGATTTGAGGATTCACAGAGGAAGGAAAACATAGGTAATTTGAAGGCAGAGAGGAAGCAGCAAGACAGACACAGGAAAGTTACCTCTGCATTCAGGAGTGGGTGTGCTCCAGACTCCCCGGGCCTGATCTCCTGCCATACAGCGAACAGAGGTGGCTCCAGCGAGGGTGAAGCCATCCCTGCATTTATAAACCACAACGGAGCCGTGGAGAAACGTTGTGCTCTGGGTGCCATTGTGCATCCCATTGTCAATCCTGGGGGGCTCCTCACAGAAACCTTCCGGGCGCTTTTCTACAGAAGGAACACCAGCAAGAGTGTCTGAGGACCTCTCCCAACTGAGAAGGTGAAGAGATGTACTGGGAGAAGGAGGTGCAGCTGAGCCTCGAGCAGCAACTGAAAATAATTTTGAGTTTTCCTGCTCATTACCAGAGCTGAGTTACTGCCCGTTGGCCACAGCCCCGGGGACAGAGACACCTCATGAAGCTCAAAAAAACATTTCAGCCATTTCTACCTTCACATAACACTATACGCTGACCTCAGAACACCCCCTTTCAGCATTATACTAAATTGAGTGGACACAGTTCTACCATCCCATTATCTACATCTTTCCCTGGTAGCTGGAGAAAGAAAACTTCCCTCCTGCGACTGATTCTTCTTTTTTTTTTTTCCCCTATGATTTCTGCCTTTCCCTCACTTCTTCCACTTTGTCAGCATAATTTCTGAATTGTATGACAGTATCATACTTAAGGCCTCACAGCATGAGTTAGTACTGAAATCATTGATTTTTACAGTTGATTAAGAAGTGCAAGTAAGAGCAGCCCGAGCCCACCAGGAAGGAGGCTGTTATCTTAAGGGCTCTGCACAGGGATTTTCCCTCTTACTTTCACAGTACGGAGGTGCCGGATCCCAGTCGACTTTGTTTCCCGATGCCACACACTTGGCAGATGGCTTCTTTAATTCATACCTAAAGAAAGAGAAGAAGTTGCAGTACTTTCCAGAAGACAACCCAGAAAGGGTTCTTTCCCTGCCTCCCCACCACCGCACGCAGAGGAGTTGTTAACCAGCAGCTGTCCCTGCTGTGACACAGGATCTGGCCACACCAAAGCCACTAAATATGGGCACTAATAAGAGCAGAACTGAAACCGTGTTGCCACGTGCTCATCTCACTGGAGACATAATCTCTGGGCTAAATTAGGGCTACAAAGATGATGAGGGGCCTGGAGCATCTCTCTTATGAGGAGAGGCTGAGGGACTTGGGTGTTTTTAGTCTGGAGAAGAGAAGATCTGATCAAAGCCTATAAATACTTAAAGGAGGATGGGCCCAGTCTTTTTTCAGTGGTGCCCAGTGACAGGACAAGAGGAAATGGGCACAAACTTGAAAATTAGAAGTTCCACCTAAACATGAAGAGGAACTTCTTTCCTGTGAGGGGGGCAGAGCCCTGGCAGAGGCTGCCCAGGGAGGTGGTGGAGTCTCCTTCTCTGGAGACATTCAAACCCCCCTGGACATGTTCCTGTGGGACCTGCTCTGGGTGGACCTGCTCTGGCAGGGGGTTGGACTAGATGATCTCCAGAGGTCCCTTCCAACCCCGTATCACTCTATGATTCTGTGATAATACCCAGTTTCACTGGAGATTGCACTGAAAAACCCTGGGGAGGGCAGGGGCAAATGTTACTGCCTGTGATCCCCATCATCTGACCCCCAAGTGAGTTCTGTTTTAGCAGGGATCCACTCACCCAGAATGGCAGGTGAATGTCACAATGCTCTCAAACAGGAAATTATCCTCGATCACATTCCCATTCTCTATCCTGGGAGGAGGACATTGCTGCCCTGGAGGAAAAGAAAGCAGCAGGGGAATTACTTCAAAAACCCCGAGATGGGCACGACCCACGTTTCAGAGTAACCTCTCCAGCGTGTGCGGGTCACTCACACGGTCCCTCAAGGAGCAGAGACACTCACGTATGCAGAAGTCCACGTCTGCAGACCAAGTTGAATCCAACTGACAGGTGACAACAGAGGACTTCCCCTCAGCTACAATATAGCCTGGTTTACAGCGGTACGTCAGCTTCGTTTCTGCAGGGTATCTGTCCCCCACAGCCCCCAAGAGCTCAGCGAAGGGGAAACGTGGAGCAGGACCACAGTAGACTAACAATGGGAGACAAAGGCAAGGTCAGTTACAGAAGGGGACCCAAAGGCTCTGCAGGAACATCAGAGAACTCCCTGCTGTGGGGCACACAGCATCTTAACCTGGCTGGTTGCCACCGTCTGGGGCACAGTTTGCATCCAACCCATTTAGCAAACAGAAGCCTGTATCACAGTTTGCTTCATGGGAGAAAAAGATGGAGATCGGGTCACATCTCTGCCCCAGAGATGCTCCATCACTGGCCACCAACCCAACCTGTGGGACCCTGACCCAGCTCAGCTCAGAAGCCAAACAGCCCCAACAGCTCTGGAAGCTGCTGAAACATCCTCTCAGGGGTAGAAGGCAATTTTGTCTCCCCTTTCAGTGCACTTGTGGGTCATTTGCTGTTCACAGACAAATTAACTGGCCTGGGGTGCCACACCAAAGACCCAAACCAGCATGATCTACCAGGGCACAAGGCTGGGGTGCTGACCTGCCCGACAGCTCTTACACCTTCTTCAATAGAATTGCTCAAGGAAATGAATTTGTTTGTACTCACCCGGGTCACACGTTGGCAGAGGTGGATTCCAGGCACTGTCTGCTTCACAAGTAACTACGCTACTGCCCTTCAGTACGTGACCACGAACACACTCAAAGGTCACCGTATCTTTATAGGTGTACTCAGTGCCAAAGCCAGACACCTTTCTCCCGTTCTTCACTTCGGGATTTTCACATTTGACCACTGGAAGAGAAGATAAGACACTAAGTAAGAATATTCATTACAAGAAGGAGAAGCCGGGCAGTGACACCAGAGGCAGAGACCAGCAAGAAGGTGACCAAGAGAACTGCCATCCTGCTGCTCGGAGAGGGACAGGTCCCCGGGGGCTGTGGGTGCTCCCTCAACAGAGACATCACTGAGAAACTGCACACAGAGAGCTTCAGTTTTCATCTGCAGGAGGCCCTTGGCATGGACAGGGAGGCTTTTGGGGGGGCTAAAGTATCCATTAAACCAAGCCGCATGAAACTCTCTGGGAATCATTTTGAACTCAAATCAACCTCCTTATTTTTGGCAGCCCATCAGGAGAGGGACGAGAAACAAAGGCAAAAGAATAAGGAGAGCAGGAAGGTGTTTACCTTTGCACTCAGGGGGTGGACCGCTCCATGTTCCCTCGAGGTTATCATCCGTCGTGCAGTGAATCGTATCATCTCCAATAAGAGCAAAGTCTTTGTCACACCTGTAAGTTGCCACCATGCCAAAGACAAAGTCTCTGTTCCCGCTCGTCATCTGCCCGTTCTCAATCCCAGGAGGTGGTGGACAGGGAATAACTGCATGGAAAAAACAACAGCAAGAAAATGCAAGGACATTTCCATCAAATGCAAAACCGAGGCCTAGCTGCTAAAAAACACCCCAAAGGAACCACAAAAAAAAATCCCAAACAAAAAAAAGTAATGAAAGCCAAAGAAAAAGCTGGGAAGCAGCCCCAAAGCAACACTCTCAACCAAAAGTCTTGAATGCATCATTAAATTCCAAATGTTTTCCAGGTTTTTTTTTTAATAGATAAATGGTAAGCCAGCAAAACATCTATTGTCCAAGAGGAGACACTGCAGAAGAGGCAATAAATCCCTCACCTACCAGGGATGGCATTTCCAACCTTTGTTACTCTAACAAGGCTGAGCCCAGAATATATTCTAGCAGCACCAAACCATCTCAACTACCAGCAGCTGATCACAGAATCACAGAGTGCTATGGGGTTGGAAGGGACCTCTGGAGATCATCTAGTCCAACCCCCGACCAAAGCAGATCCAGACCCATCCCACAGGATGCTAAAAAAGCCCAAACAGCACCAACAAAACTCTTAGAATCCATCATTTCTCCTTTGAAAATTAAGAGTTTGGAGGTGCAGTCATGGCTGAAAGCCTCCCAGTCCCAGTTGAGTACAGCTGTGGGTAAAAAAATCCAGCAACATCCAGCCTGATGGAAAACACATGGTGAGTGACGCAGGATCTGCACCAGCTGGGCAGAGAGCTCTCAGATCTGAGGACAGAGCTGCTGCCAAAACCCACGGATTCCCCCTTAGCATTTAATTTTAATCCCCAGCTCCAGCCAGGGAGCTTGTTTGGGGAGAGGTAAGGAGTCGGTCTCATTAAAGGCTAATGGAATTTGCATTAGGTGCCAAGAAGAGAGTGTCTCCCCCTGCTCTTCCCCAAACTGCCAGATTGAGGGTAACAGCTTCAAGAAAAGGGTACACACAAAACATTTTAAATGTTTAAATCTGCTTACTGTCACAGTGTGGAATTTCAGTCCAGTAAACTTCATTGTCCTTAAGCATGCATTGTGCAGACGGCGCCCCAATTAATCGGTACCTAAGAAAAGAAAAGGTTGAATCGCTTTGAAAAAAAAAATATGGAAAAAATACTCGGGGAATTCAGAAAGTTGTACAGTTTCCAGTGGTACTCACTGGAGGAGCTGAAGCCTAGGGGAAAACCAGCTAGCCCTCCTCTAAAATACGATTTTTTCAGGACCTAAAAAACGCGATATATGATGCAGTTGGAGGGCACTCCATGCTTGCAGTGGGTGATACGAGCTCACGGGAGCAGAAGGCAGATGGCACCCCCCCAACTTCCTCCCCAGGTCTGTTCAGCCCCAGGCTGGGCAGCAGGAGATCAAAATAGCAACTCCTTTTCCGAGCAGAGCTGTGACTGACCTGCCTTAACCCGCTCTCTTTCCCTCTCCCCCTGTTCCTGGCCCCCCCCAGGACACCGCAGCCCCCTCTTCCCGAGACCCCTTAGCGAAGGGTGGGCAGCCAGACCCATGGCAAAACAGCAAACACCAAATTACTAACGAGCACCAACGGGAAAGGAATAAAATTCTTTGCAAAGCAGCTAAAAATCAATCTGCAAGGACCCCGCTCTCATGCCCAGGGGATAATCTCTTTTGACAGCAAGGGCAGGAGAGAGCCTGACCCCGTGGCTCCACGCTCCAGACCCCTCCTGCCGTGCTCTGCTTGCCAAGGAAACAGTCCCCAGACATTAAAAAGTCTCTGAGTCACCCACGGGTGCTGTTTCCCAGCCTGGGCCAACACTTACCCCTCATTACAGGTGAAGTTTATTGTCGCCCCGAACCGGAGGTCGGTCGAGTACTCAAATTTTCCATTTGGGATTTCTGGTTCTCCACATGACTTTCCTGTGAAGGGCAAGTGAGGAGTGTTACTTTCATTTCACAGCATGATAACGAAGCGTAGGTGACCGCGCTGTTGGGTGTCGTTACAAACTTCCTGACCACTTCTTGGGCATCTGACTCCCTCATGAGCAGGTCCCAGCACTTTCAGAAAAGATACAAGACCCCCATTAACTTGTGAGGAACTGAAAGTTAAAACAAAAATCATAGAATCACAGAATGGTTTGGGTTGGAAGGGACCTCAAAGATCATCGAGGTCCAACCCCCCTGCCCTGGGCAGGGACACCTCCCACCAGACCAGGTTGCTCAAAGCCCCCTCCAGCCTGGCCTTGAACCCCTCCAGGGATGGGGCAGCCACAGCTTCTCTGGGCAACCTGTTCCAGTGTCTCACCACCCTCATAGTAAAAAATTTCTTCCTGAGATCTAATCTGAATCTTTTTTCTTCCAATTTAAAACCATTTCCCCTTGTCCTATCATTCCCCTTCCTGGCAAAGAGTCCCTCCCCAGCTCTTCTATAGGCACCCTTCAGGTATTGAAAGGCTGCTCTAAGGTCTCCCTGGAGCCTCCTCTTCTCCAGGCTGAACAATCCCAGTTCCCTCAGCCTGTCTTCATAGGAGAGGTGCTCCATCCCTCAGCAAAAAGCAAATAAAGAGCACAGATAAAGCTGAGGAAAAATTTAAAAAGCCAAAGTTAATACGCTTACTGAGAAAGGAAGCTGATGAGATTAACATTTCTCAGCAGAAAGGGGAGCCTCAGGGAGGCTGAGAGCTTGTTCTCAGCTGCCCTAAAACCAGAGACCCGGGGTGCATCCTTCTCCGGGGGGCTGAACCACGAGCAGGGTATGGGGTGCAGCAGGAGACACCTACTCCCCCCTCTCCCTCCATACACCCCCCTCCCTGATCCCAGGAGCCCACCATTTGGGGAACCCACCGATGCAGAAGTCGGGGTTCTCCGACCATTGGGAGCCAGCCTCGCAGACGACCTCAGGGAATTTGCCCGGAGCCATCGTGTACCCCGGGCGGCACCTGTACCTCACCCTGTCCCCCTCGGCGTAGGACTCCTTCAGGGGCTTGGTAGGTTCTGCAAAGGCAAACCTCGGCGGCGGTGGGCAGTCACCTGCGGGCAGGGGAGAGGATGATGAAGGAGCCGGGGGGGAGGATGATAAAGGGAAGGGGGGGGCAAATCATAGAATCATTCAGGTTGGAAAAGACCCTTGGGGTCATCGAGTCCAACCATCTACCCTACTGTACAAAGTTCTCCCCTACACCATGTCCCCCAACACCACATCTGAACGATTCTTAAACACATCCAGGGATGGGGACTCAACCACCTCCCTGGGCAGCCTGTGCCAGTCTCTGACCACTCTTGCTGTCAAGAATTTTTTCCTAATGTCCAGTCTAAACCGGCAGTGCCAGCAGCACCCCGCAGAGCCACCGCAGCCGCCCCATGGCCAGACCCGCTCCCGGTTCCGCGGACGGGCGCGCAGAGGTGCGGATCGCGGCGCTCGGCCCCTTCCGGCGCTGGGGGGGGTGTGTTCCCGGATTTATGTCACCGACGTGGGCAGGCTGGGTTATTTTCCTTCCGGCTGTTTTGTAGGAAACGCGACCGGGACCCCCGTGGCCCTTCCCACGGCGTTTCTCCTCGGGGCGGTGGGAAACATCATTCAGGTTGGAAAAGACCCTTGGGGTCATCGAGTCCAACCATCTACCCTACTGTACAAAGTTCTCCCCTACACCATGTCCCCCAACACCACATCTGAACGATTCTTAAACACATCCAGGGATGGGGACTCAACCACCTCCCTGGGCAGCCTGTGCCAGTCTCTGACCACTCTTGCTGTCAAGAATTTTTTCCTAATGTCCAGTCTAAACCTGCCTTATTGCAGCTCAAATCCATTCCCTCTTGTTCTATCACTAATGACCTGTGAGAAGAGCCCAGGACCAACCTCTCTACAGTGTCCTTTCAAGTAGAGAGTGATGAGGTCTCCCCTCAGCCTCCTCTTCCTCAAACTAAACAGTCCCAGCTCATAATCCCAGGCAGCTTATGGAGAGGGGGGGACACAGACTCACCTTATCCCTTCCCCACGCAGCCCTCTCCCCTTTTTCCCCCGCAGCCCTAACCCCTTTTCCCCCTGCATCCCTAACCCCTTTTCCCCCACATCCCTAACCCCCTTTCCCCCACATCCC